ATATAAATTAAGCATCTCAAATTCTATGAGTAGTTAGCCGATTGCTCTTAAAAGGCTGCCTTGCACATTAGCAAAACTAAAAAAAAAAATGAAAACGGTAATATACTTCATGCTTAATTAATATATTAGATAAACCCTCAATAATGACCATATAATGATTAGAAGAACATTAATTTCAAATTGATCTTATTAATAAGGTAAATAATACTAATTTAGAATTGTTGCGGGCTAGAATATACGCGGCGATAGAGTTTTAATTCTACGTTTTAGCATTGTACGGATAGTTAGTTCACACACAGAGAACACAATATTTTTTACGTGGAAAACCCACGGGGCCTAGCCTAGTTGAAAATAATTCTACTAGAATTTGAGTCGATTACAAAGGGCTGGCTCGCCTCCAAGGGCGATCAGATTACAATTAGCAACTATTTGATAGAAGTCTGGTGTTAGACCCAGTGTCACTTGATAGTACCCTGGCGTCACCTAGAAATTTAGGTGTTAGTTGGTAGTCTGGCCTTAAGCAGAACGTCGGGCCTTGAGCAGAATGTCGGGCCTGAACGTCGGGCATGTACGTCGGGCCTTGAGCAGAACGTCGGGCCTTGAGCAGAATGTTGGGCCTTCAGCAGAACGTCGGGCCTTGAGCAGAACGTTGGGCTTTCAGCAGAACGTCGGGCCTTGAGCAGAATGTTGGGCCTTTAGCAGAACGTCGGGACTTGAGCAGAATGTCGGGCCTGAACGTCGGGCCTTGAGGTGGTGGTCCGGCGAAGCTCCGGCGGTGGTACGGCGAGGCTCCAGCGGTGGTCCGGCAAGGCTCATGCGGTGGTCCGGCGAGGCCTCAGCGGTGGTCCGGCGCGGCGAGGTTCCGGCGGTGGTCGAGGAGGAGCTTCTTCCTTCTCTTCTCCTCTTCTCTTCTTCTCTTCCCTTCTTGCTTCCCTCCTCTCTTGTGAAGAATGAGTGCTCTATTTATAGATTTTCTGGAGTGGCATAGCTCGTAAATAGGCGTGAGATCAGGGGCGAATAGGGAGTGGTC